ACGTATCATCCAAAACATTCATATGAATGTTGTATTTCATTGAAAACTAAAAATATATTATGAATACCTAAGATGTATTTTTTTTTTTTTGAAATCCAAGCAAAATTATCAATAATTATGGCATTGAATGGTTACTAACCTTTGTCAAAAAAAAAAATGGTTACTAACCATACCTTGTGTTATTAATAAATCCTTGCAAAAAACATACTGACATACAATCTTGGTATGAACAAATTGAACTTAATTGAAACTAAAATTATTATAGTTTTATAAATAATTTGTGGTGTTATTTCTGTTCATTATTAATAACATATAGTATGTATTTAAGCGTAAGTCAGAGAGAGTTTAGGATGAATAGCCATTAAATTATTAACGGTTTCAGGTCAATTGTTATCAACATTTTGGTACCATTAATGCTATACATCATCATTATTATTATTTTTTCTATATATTTGTTGGCATTTTATGAAATTATGGTTAATGAATGTGACTAGATAGTGTGACAACACCCCTTGTGTTGTTATTGTAACAACACTAGCCTCCAACCAATAAGAAGCTAGGGTTGTGATGACTTTTTCTTAGCTAAGTTGACCTAGTGTAAAATCAAAGCAGGGGGTATAATTGTCATTATAAAAAAAATATTTAAATAAGAAAAAAATAAAAAAATAATTTTTTATTTTCTGCCCAAAATTTTGGTCGCCGGAATTCGGCAACTGGAATCTGGTCGCCGACCACCGGAATATGCTTTTTATCACCGGAATATGATCACCGTCGCCGGAATATGCTTAACAGCGTCGGAATATGCTTACCGACATCGGAATCTAGTCACCGGGGCCGGAATATGCTTATCGGCGCCGGAATCCGGTCAATGACGGTCAACGGTCAACGACCACCAGATGTTATGGTCTGCATTGTGAGATTTATGGTTTGGTTTCTCATATTTTTGTATGCCTTTTGTGGTTTGCTTTATCGTGTTTGTGGTTTGCATTAAGAAATTTCTGGTTTGTTTTAAAAGATCTTGTGGTTTGCATTGTGAGGTTTCTGGTTTGTTTTAATATATTTGTGGTTTGAATTAGAAGGTTTCTCATTTGCTTTTGTGGTTTGTTTTACCGTGCTTGTGGTTTGCATTATGAGGAATCTGGTGTGCTTTTGCAAATGTTGTGGTTTGCTTTGTGAGGTTTGTGGTTTGTTTTAGGAGATTTGTGGTATGCATTAGGAGGTTTCTGGTTTGCTTTTTTTGTGGTTTTTTTTATCATGTTTGTGGACTGCATTAGGAGTTTCTGGTGTGCTTATGAAAGACTTGTGGTTTGCTTTACCATGTTTGTGGTTTGCATTATTAGGTTTCTGGTATGTTTTAGGAGATTTGTGGTATTCATTATAAGGTTTTTAGTGTGCTTCGAGAATATTTATAGTCCACTTTTATGATGTTTCTGGTATGCTTTAAGATTTTAGTGATTTGTATTAGAAGGTTTTCGGTGTGCTTTATAATTGTTTCTAGAATTTTTTGTTTACTTTCTCATACCATACAATGCAAATCATGCATACTAGAAATGGTACCAAATAAGCCTCAGCCATCTCAGGCGTTATTGACTTGTCTCTGGCACCAGAGACCAACTTGAGAAGGCACCATATAAGCCTCAACCAGCTCTACCACTTTGCATCTATTAAAGTGGAGCAACACCGCAAACAATAAAGAAACGCCACTTGAATCCATGGAACTAGAGTATGTATCTGGATGGATAAAGAACCAACAATTTAATTTAGAGCCGGCGACTTGCCAAGCAAATGAGGTTTGGAGATGAGAGGAGGGAGTTGGGGCTAGAAATCAGAGCCTGTGACAAAAAATTGATTTGATTGAAGCTTAATAAAAGATTGAACAAGAAAAGCCCAATTGATAGAGAGTCTAGCTTCTCTAATCTCGACAGTCTCATGGCGTATCATACTGGGAAAAAGCTTCGGACAGCTCATGACATGATCGACACCGCTGTTTCTGTGAGAGCTGTTCCACAACCATATGACAAAGAGCAGGTTCCTCGACGACCGAGCGGATTCCCTCCATTGAGTGATTTGGAGCGGCGACCATGGCTAGGAGATAGGTGAAGGCGGGAATGAGATATAAGTTTCCAGCGCCGGGGCTGCCTCAATCACCGCCACCACACATTGCGACTCCACTCTTAAAGTTTAGAACTGAGATGACATGGCTATGACCTCAACGATTTCTGACCGGATAATGGAATCCAAGTCTCGAAGACGGCGGGGGAGATCGTTGGAGCTCGGTGGCGCGAGGATGGATGTAGGGAGGGGCGGCGCCGGCAGGCAATTGGAGAACAGCGTAGGAGACGTTCTGGCCGCGGGTTTAGAGGATAGGGCTGTGAATTTTAATTGGAATTATTTTATTATTATTTATATGTAATTTACCCTTTTACCCTTAATAAATCTTGTTGTTACTATAACAACACTAAGGGTGTTGTTATAGTATCCGCTCCCTGAATGAATAAACTTATTTAGGGTTTTTTTCGCTCCGGAAATTGCAGCGGCGATTTTTTCTTCCACCTCGCGGGTTAGGGTTTTCTCCTTGCCTCCATGCCGGCGGTGACCACGCCGATGGTTGGGGGTAGATTGGACTGCCACATGACGACTGAAACTATTGCTGGACAACGACGACCCGGGACAGAATCATCTTTCTCGAATACCAAAGGAGATCGAGATTCCCAACAAACAAAGAAACGAGCTAAAGCGACCGTGCAAGACCTTGATTATGGTCAGCACAAAGATGAGGATCTGACGGCGTTGTCAAAGGAGATCAACCTGCCAAGACTCCCCCGCTCCATAATCGACCAGCTTTAGGGGCGGGAGCCGCGATGGCCCGTCGACTCTTTTGTGACGCTGTATGTACCGACACTTGGTATAAGGGACGGAGAGGCGGTTACGTCAACTACAAAAAATATGGTCAACCACTCACCGGATCTCACCGCACTAGCCGATAGGGGTGTAAGTTTGACCCTAAAAGGCCACTCACCCGTCCCGACCCGTTCCGTCCCTAAGGGTCGGGACAAATCAGTTCGTCTATAGTTTTTAACCCTATAAGGGTTGGGACGGGTCGTGTCAAATTAGGGATGGGTCATATTTTGACCCTGTGACCCTTAGCAACAACAATTATCCCATACCACATTGGACCTCTTTGTAAAAGTTTTCAAAGTTTAGGTACTAAATTCCAAAAATAAAATAAAAAAGTTGAGTACCAAAATTTAATTTTACCATCAAAATTTATGGACTTATTTGTAAAGAAAATTTAGGTACTAAATTGTTTGAAAAAATAATTATGGGTACCAAAACGTAATTTATAACAAAGTAGTGTGTAGATTAGGGTCGACCCACAGACCCGACCCGTCCCATCCCTTGAGGGTCAAACAGGGTTAAGAAGGAGACAGGGACGGGACAATTATATATCTTGACCCTTCAGAGAAAGGTTAGACAGGGTCAGGGACGGGACAGGGAATGTCATGGCAATTTTCAGCCCTACTGGCCGAGGACATGTTATTGGATCCGAACCTCTCGGGTGCGAAGAAGATGTCAGAAATGACTACGAGTTGAAAGGGTACTCCTATTCATGTTTAATTGTTGTGTGCAGAGTGGGGCCTACTTTCCACATCTTTTAGATGATCAATATATTTACATGGAATTGTAGCGGAGTGGGAAGCAAAAGATCATATAGACCGACCGATCATCATAGTTCATTCATTTCAAAGTTATCGTTGAATGGTCAAAGTGGTTCCTCATAGCCATGTATGCAAACCCTGCTCTGGTGCAAAGAAGAGAGCTTTGGAACTCTGTACAGGGTATAGTTGAGACTATGGTGGAGCCCTGGTTACTGGCAGAAGATTTCAACTCTATCCTTGTAACCGACGGATGAAACGAGCTAAGGAATAGAAGTTAGAGGACTGAATTGGATATTTTACATTCTGTATAAAACAAACCCGGGAAGACCGTTGTAACTACTTTTTGGCATAATAACAACTTTACCTTTCCCTCTCCTTTCTCTCTCTATCTCTCTCTTTCCGATCTCACTCTTCTCTTCTCTGGATTCCTCTGTAACTCTCTCTTCTTCTACTAAATTCCTCCATTGCCGAGACAATTGATCCTCTAGGGGTGACAAGGTGGTATCAGAGCACTGTCTTGGCGTCTTCTTCTTCTTCTTCTTCTTCTTCTTCTTCTTCGACAATGACGAGCACCAGAGGCACAATCGATGAGCGCCTTACTGCTTTGTTGGCGTCGACGAATCAGGCGCGTGTAGATCTCGATGACAGAATCACTAACGTGCAAAGTTTGGTTTCTTCGCAAGCGGTTCAATTCCAGGAGCTCCAGACTCGTTCCGACGGCCATTCCCAGCAATTCGTCACTTTAACGGCTCGATTGGATTCGATGGAGGCGAACTCCACAACGCGTTTCGCAGAGCTGGAGACGAGTTCTGCTACTCGATTTGCAGATATGCAGACGCGTCTCGATGATCGTTTCGGTCATTTCACAAATGAGATTCGTGAGATGCTGCAATTGGTGGTTACTCCACGTCTGGCGGTCGTCGTCGCGGGGCCAGTGGTGCCGCCGATTGATCAGAATGCTAGGGGCATTCTTCCCTTGCCAAATCAAGGTTTTCGGGGTGCTGAACCTGTCTTGGGGCAGTGATGACTCGTTATTTACACATGTTTTTACCCCCATTCTTACACCGTTTGAGGTTTTGATTCTCGTGTTTTAGGCCGATTTCACGCTAGGTTGTGCTTGTTTGTGATATTTCAGGTCCTAGTACGTGAATGAAGGCTTAGGAGCGAGTCTGGGGTCGATTGGACGAAGAACGGACGAACGGCGAGCTGTTTGGGGAGTGCACGGGCAGACCAGGAGGCTGCACGGCCGTGCACTTGAGCCATATGGCCGTGCGCCTCATGCCGAGGCCATGCCCGGGCACAATCCAGACTTGCACGGCCGTGCACCTGGCCGTGCAAGAAGCATGAGTTCGACTTAAATGGATACGCTGCGTTTCAGGGTGCACGGCCAGAATGGTGTTGTGCACGGCCGTGCACCTGGCCGTGCAACTCGGGGAAACCGGTTTTAATGCCTAATCCGAGCCAAAAGTGGGAGAATCATGTTTTCAGAGCAAAAACAGAGCCCTAGAGAGAGAAAGTGCGAAGAACACATCCTAGAAGCTGTCCTAGAGCTGGATTTCATCGAATCGAGCCTGGAGATCGTCATAGGAGTGGAAATCATCGTCCCGGAGCAGATTATCCTCATCGTTATGAGTATGACTAATCCGATTCTTGTTTTCTCTTCTCTCTCTATGGAGTAGAACCCTTCTCTCACTTGGGTATGAAGAACCCTAGTTCTTTGTGTTAGGGATTTGATTGTAATGACTTGGGATGATATTACTGTTTGGTTTTAATCGAATGACGCATGTTTAATGAATTGATTTGAGTCTGATCAGCTTTTCTCAAACGAGAGTTAGCCAGTTGACTGCTTTGTACTGGTGTTCTTGGCGCCAGTAGTGGAGTTCTGTGTTTATAGCCTCAGCTTTCTATCCCGGTGAAGACTAGTCGTCTGCCGGGTAGTTAGACTGAGAGGGCTTGGTCAGCTTAAGAGATTCCAAGCTACTGTTGGATCTTCCGCAGTCTAATCAACAGTAAATCAACCCAGGGAATTACAATTGAACCTAACTGAGGGGCTAGGGGGACTCAATCCCGAGTGACTCTTGCCTGCTTTAGAAACCCGAACAATTTGCTGCTTTCTTGTTGCTTTTACTTTTCACAACAATCACTCGACTTAGTTTGCTAGATAATAGAGAATCACGGAGTAAGCAGTAGATCTAGACCCCGGGTTGATAATTAAACTTGCCTATACTGCAGTCCCTTTCATTGGTTACACTTGGCCATTGTTAGGTGTTGTGTTTTAGCGTGTCAAGTTTTTGGCGCCGTTGCCGGGGAACTTTCTAGATTATTAGGAAAGGCAGAAGTTTGTTACTTTAGCGTTTTTCTTTTCTTTTCCACCCTTGCTTTTCACTTGGGTGTTTTTGTTTTTGTTGGTGCAGATCTGAATCATGGATCCTCATGGCTTCTCCAACCATTGGGGGTATCCACCACCATCCGAGTGGTATTACCCCGAGACCCCCTGGAGCAATCAAGGAGAAGAAGACTATGGATTCGGGTTTCAGTACCAACCCCCATCCTACGAAGAACAATCAGACCCCTGGGTATTTCAAGAACAATCTCCTTATCAAGAAGAATTCCTCCATCAGCCAGATCCAAACTATCACTTGAGGCTTCTCGTGGAGCAGATTGCTCGAGTACCTGAGACATCCTTTCCAAAGATGGATATCCCAGACAATGCCCAAACTGGGTTCTCCTACCGTGAAATAGAGGAGACCCTCCTGAGCATAAAGAAGAGCCTCGAGGATCTTGAGAAAGCTTATGCACAACCTGCTCAAGATCACCCTTCTGCTATCATACTAGAAGAGGAGGAGGGTGACAAAGGCTATGGGGATGTTGAGGAGCATACAGAAGTTATCACAGAGAACTCCCATGATAATCATGATCAGGAAAGTCCTCTGGTTGCAGATCACACAATTCCTTATTTCTGCTCTAACATGCTGGGCCCGATCGAGGAGATGCACGATGAGCTCATTGAAGAAATTGCATGGCGACTTGCTCTCCAATCTGTGCTAGAAGAAGAAGAGCAAGAAAGGGTGCAGAAAGAAGTTGTGGAGGATGAGGAAGAAAGCAAAGAAGAGGAAGTTCTCGATCATTTCCCAGGGGTGATACCACTTGAAGAAGGAAGGGGGGTTGAGGAAGCAATTGGCGTCCAGGCTGAGGATGAAGTTGCGGTGGAAGAGGCCTGCACCGGCCATGAGTTACATGTGATATCTCCACCAAACTTCGAGGTGCTGCTTGGCAAGGACCCATTTGCAGTGTCTCTTTGCCAGACCAAGGCCACATCGACATCGGTCCCTCTTGGTGGACACGATGGTGGCCAATCAATGCTGTCTTATCTGGTTTGGGGCAATGAGACGAGAGAAGAGAAGAAGAGGTCTCGAGGGTGGAGACTTCATCTGCGTCAAGTGCACGAGCTTCCATCACCAGTCATACCACATGCTCGTGACTTGCGACTCCACCTCATTGACGAGAACCTCAACTTCAAGGAGGTTCTAGCATGGACCGAAACTTAGGAGCCATCGTCCGGCTCACGACGTGAAAGAAGCGCTTGTTGGGAGGCAACCCAACCAGTCGGTTTGCATTTCTTTCTCTATTTCTCCTCGGTTGAGTCAGTTTTGTTATTTGATTTTAGAGTCAATAACTCAACCTTTGTGAGATTTTGTGTGGTGTTTGTGTTCTGATCACTCTCTCTTCCTGGAATGCACCGCCTGCCCCGTCCATCATCATTCACCCTTAATCTGGTAACTTCGTTCTACCCTCCTTATCTTTCCTCCATTGAGGACAATGTCGTGCTTAAGTGTGGGGGGGTGTTCGATTATGTATGCGGGTGAATGTTTGGCTGTTTGTGAGCTTGGAGCCTAGTCCACTGTCCAAATTTTTAAATTTGAGGGCTCCAAGTACGTGTTTCCTTGCAAATTGCCTACTCAGTATGCTTTGAATTGACAGTCTCTATAGTAATGTGCAACCTAGGGAGGTAGTGTAGCACTATGGAGGATGTTGAAGTATAAGATTTTTCCTATCTAGCTCTCTGCTGTGTCAGTTGATTTTGTGAATTAGTGGAGCTAAGACCGTTGAATTCATGTGGTAATGGTGACTCTATTTGGATTGTGTTATGGACTCGTGTATCGAACAGGGTGCTCATGTGGCAAATGAAAAGCAGTTGGTCCTCCATGTCGAAATCATTGAAATCTTAAATATGGGGTAAGCCCAACGTGTGTGGCACCGTTCATTGCAAAAAATCGGGTTTTGGAAGAGATTTTAGTAATCCTTAGTGGGGTACTCCTACAAGGTGAAGCTAAGCTGTCTCTAGTACAAGTAAAATTTTCACCCGTTGAACGGTTTGCCTACTTGAGGATGTGTTTTTAAGGGCACGGATAGAGCTTCCGACCCCCCTTAATTTCATTGACCCTCCACACGAGTTGAGGAAAAGGAGTTAAAAGAAGTACTCTGGCGAGCGCCAGGTGTACAGAAATTGCTCTTGCTTGACTAATAAGGGTCGACCGTGCAAAAGACTGCAGTTGGAACCCCTGCTAAGTGAAAGAAAAAAAGGGAAACATGTAAATGAAAGTGAGAAAAAGGGGTTCCAACGGTGAAATGAAGTGAAAGAGCATCCCGGTACAACGAGTCCTTGGTTGTGAATGATGTGAGTCCCTTTATCCATGAACTGATTGTCTTACTTCTACTTTTTCTCATGATCCTGGCTTGAGTCTAGTACTCGCATTGAGAGAGATAGGGAACGTCTTAGAAGACCAGTTGACCTCGTAAGCTGCTATATGATCTAGGAAATCCTCTACCGACGATCGGGGTTGTTTGTTGCTATAGAGGTCTAGAGAGCTGCATTGGTTTGAGTTAGGTTTGCTTGGGGACAAGCAAACAGTTAAGTGTGGGGGAATTTGATGACTCGTTATTTACACATGTTTTTACCCCCATTCTTACACCGTTTGAGGTTTTGATTCTCGTGTTTTAGGCCGATTTCACGCTAGGTTGTGCTTGTTTGTGATATTTCAGGTCCTAGTGCGTGAATGAAGGCTTAGGAGCGAGTCTGGGGTCGATTGGACGAAGAACGGATGAATGGCGAGCTGTTTGGGGAGTGCACGGGCAGACCAGGAGGCTGCACGGCCGTGCACTTGAGCCATATGGCCGTGCGCCTCATGCCGAGGCCATGCACGGGCACAATCCAGACTTGCACGGCCGTGCACCTGGCCGTGCAAGAAGCATGAGTTCGACTTAAATGGATACGCTGCGTTTCAGGGTGCACGGCCAGAATGGTGTTGTGCACGGCCGTGCACCTGGCCGTGCAACTCGGGGAAACCGGTTTTAAAGCCTAATCCGAGCCAAAAGTGGGAGAATCGTGTTTTCAGAGCAAAAACAGAGCCCTAGAGAGAGAAAGTGCGAAGAACACATCCTAGAAGCTGTCCTAGAGCTGGATTTCATCGAATCGAGCCTGGAGATCGTCATAGGAGTGGAAATCATCGTCCCGGAGCAGATTATCCTCATCGTTATGAGTATGACTAATCCGATTCTTGTTTTCTCTTCTCTCTCTATGGAGTAGAACCCTTCTCTCACTTGGGTATGAAGAACCCTAGTTCTTTGTGTTAGGGATTTGATTGTAATGACTTGGGATGATATTACTGTTTGGTTTTAATCGAATGACGCATGTTTAATGAATTGATTTGAGTCTGATTAGCTTTTCTCAATTTCTGCTGCAACCTGAGATAGATAGAATCTGATTAGGTTGTTAGAGCCTCTTCATTCGATAGTAGGAGATTGGCTATACGAGAGTTAGCCAGTTGACTGCTTTGTACTGGTGTTCTTGGCGCCAGTAGTGGAGTTCTGTGTTCATAGCCTCAGCTTTCTATCCCGGTGAAGACTAGTCGTCTGCCGGGTAGTTAGACTGAGAGGGCTTGGTCAGCTTAAGAGATTCCAAGCTACTGTCGGATCTTCCGCAGTCTAATCAACAGTAAATCAACCCAGGGAATTACAATTGAACCTAACTGAGGGGCTAGGGGGACTCAATCCCGAGTGACTCTTGCCTGCTTTAGAAACCCGAACAATTTACTGCTTTCTTGTTGCTTTTACTTTTCACAACAATCACTCGACTTAGTTTGCTAGATAATAGAGAATCACGGAGTAAGCAGTAGATCTAGACCCCGGGTTGATAATTAAACTTGCCTATACTGCAGTCCCTTTCATTGGTTACACTTGGCCATTGTTAGGTGTTGTGTTTTAGCGTGTCAGGCAGGCGCCTAGGGCTCACGCTCCGGTTGTCAATCCAGTTGCAGAGCGGGAACCATTTCCAGTTCACGGCCCAGGTAATCCTAATCCGTTTCATCAGCTTCCCCGTCTTGATTTTCCGTCCTTCAATGGCGATGATCCTCGAGAATGGACGCGGAAATGTGAGAAATTGTTCGACATTTACGGAATTCTGCCGGAGCAGCGAGTTAATTTGGCGGTGATCTATTTTCAACGACGAGCGGATCTATGGTTTGAAGGGTGGAAAATAGGTCGTAGAGAGTTGATTTGGGAGGAATTCGTGGCGGCCTTATGCTAGCGATTTGGGAATCGTACGTATGGAGGCGTAGTGGCCGAGTTCAATAAGCTGCGGCAGCGGGGTTCCTTAGCTGAGTATCAAGAGAAATTCGAGGAACTCCGATCCTTGATGGCGCATTTCAACCCAGCGTTGGACGAGATTTATTTCATCAGCAGTTTCATTAGCGGGTTAGAGGAAGAACTGCGTCCAGTATTGCAGATGTGGAATCCTCGAACTCTGGCGGATGCGTTCCAGTTTGCACAATTGGAAGAAGCATCGAACCTAGCTCGTCAACGGAAGTGGCGCAGCAGTCAAGGGGTGCCTAATCGCTCTCTGGGAGTTTCCAGCAGTACCAATGGCACGCAACCTCGCCGTTGGGAGAATACTACTAACACCACCAGGCCTACTGGTGGACTGAAATCACCACTGATGAACCCGAAGAATAATGGTGCAAGGGGTGTTTGTTACAAGTGTGGTGATAAGTATTTTTTCGGGCATGTGTGTGATGCTAAGAAGCAGCTTAACATGTTACAGGCAGAAGGGGAAGATGGGGTGATTGACCAATGGCAGAGCTGTGATGAGGAAGTTTTGATTGAACCCACTGTGGAGAATGATAGCCCTGAGTTGGAAGAAGTCTCGATGCAAGCATTGAACAGTGGGGGAATGGCTAGTTCGTTGATAGTACAAGGAAGAGTCAAGAATGCCAAGATTTATATCTTGGTGGACACTGGCAGTACTCATTCTTTCCTCAGTGAAGTTAGCAGATGGCACTATACTACTTAGTCATCTGGTGTGTAAGGGATTTGTGTGGGAAATGCAGGGGCACACGTTTCAATATGACATGAGGATCTTAAGTTTGGGCTCCAATGATGCTGTTCTTGGGTTGGACTGGCTCAAAACTATAAGTCCTGTCAAATTTGATTTCATTGGGCTACAATTGTTCTTCGACTGGCAGGGAAAAGAGGTGGTACTCACAAGGGTTCAGTATCTAGCTCAGTGTAAACTGATTTCTGGTAAAAGTTTACAGAAACTTTGGGATAAGTCTGAAATCGCTTTTATGGGGCAGATCTGCAGTTTGCAAGCTGTGGACCAGTTGGCTTGTTTGAATGAGATTGCAGATTGGAAGAATCAACCACCATACTTCTTGGAGTCTGTTCTACAGGAGTACAGTGACATCTTTGGCAAACCTCAGGGTCTACCACCTGCAAGAGATTGTGATCACACCATCCCACTCCAGCCTAATTCCCAACCAGTAAAGCTTCGTCCCTACAGATACTCTATTCCACAGAAAGATGAGATGGATCGATTAGTCAAGGAAATGTTGGAGTCCCACTATATTCAGCCTAGCAGGAGTCCTTTTGCATCTCCAGTATTGCTAGTACTTAAGAAAGATGGGTCTTGGAGGTTTTGTGTGGATTACAGAAAGTTGAATGACCTCACCATTAAGGATAAGTTCCCTATCCCTGTGATTGATGACCTATTAGATGAATTAAGAGGCTCCAAGTTCTTTACAAAGCTGGATTTACTTTCTGGCTATCACCAAATCAGGATGGATCCTGCAGACCAACACAAGACTGCATTCAGAACTCATCAAGGGTTATATGAGTTCACTGTGATGCCTTTTGGCCTCACCAATGCCCCTGCCACATTCCAAGCTTTGATGAATACGATTTTTGGCCCTCACTTAAGGAAGTTCATTCTGGTTTTCTTTGATGATATTTTGATCTATAGCCCTGATCAGGTTAGCCACAAGAACCATCTAGCTGCTGCTTTATCAATTCTGAGGGCAAATTGTATGCCAAACCTTCCAAGTGTGCATTTGGACAAACTCATATTGATTATTTGGGATACATCATCAATCAGGAAGGAGTAACTACTGATCCTGCTAAGATAGAAGCTATGGTAAACTGGCCTGTTCCAAAAACTGTGAAGGAATTGCGTGGATTCCTAGGTTTAACAGGTTACTACAGGAAATTTGTGAAGAATTATGGGGTGATAGGCAAACCACTCACTGATTTGCTGAAGAAAGATTGTTTCCAGTGGTCAGACAAGGCACAAGAGGCTTTCACAGCTCTTAAAACTGCTATGGTTACTGCTCCTGTGTTGGCCCTTCCTGATTTTTCAAAACCCTTTGTGTTGGAGACTGAAGCAAGTGACTTGGGAATTGGAGTTGTGTTGTCTCAGGAGGGCAGATCATTGGCTTACCACAGCCAAGCCCTAGGACCAAGGAAACAGGGCCTCTCTACATATGAGAAAGAATATCTGGCTGTCACTAAGTGGAGACATTACCTTGAGGCCAGGATTTTTAAAATTGTCACAGATCATGAGAGCCTTAAGCATCTTTTAGGTCAGAAGATCCATACTCAGATCCAGAAGAAGGGTTTGGTTAAACTTTTGGGATTGGATTTTGAGATCCAATATAGGCAGGGCAGGTTCAATCAGGTTGCTGATGCCCTGTCTAGGCATCCTGACTTTGCAGCTTCTGTGGCCAAACTTGGAGGCTGTTGTCCAATTACTGCTGTCTTGCCTGAGTGGCTTTCTGAGTTAGAATCTACATACTCAGGTGATCAGGAGGTGCAGTAGGTAATGGTGGAGGCTGCAGTGCCAGTGATTGGACCAAAGCTTTTTTGGATCCATCAGGGTCTCCTCTATCACAGATCTGCTATCTATGTGGGTTCTGTGGGCACAATGAGACAATAGTTACTTGGATTATTCCATGATTCACCAGTTGGGGGTCATTCTGGGGTGCAGGCTAGCTATCAGAGGATCAAGAGGTATTTTTGGTGGCCTGGCATTAAGGCTGACTTGAAGAACTATGTGTTGATGTGTGATGTATGTCAGAAGTGTAAGACAGAGAACATTCCTTACCCTGGGTTGCTTCAGCCACTACCTATTCCAGATCAGGCCTGGAAGCATATATCTATGGATTTTATTGAGGGTCTGCCCAATTCCCATGGTAAGGAAGCTGTGTTAGTAGTGGCGGATAGGTTCTCAAAATATGGTCATTTCTTTGGCCTGTCCAAGCCATATACAGCAATGACAGTGGCACAAGTTTTCTTTGATGGAGTGTTCAAATTACATGGCATGCTTGTGACAATTGTCTCTGACAGGGATGCTACTTTCACCGGCTCTTTCTGGTCCAAGTTATTTGAATTACAAGGAGTCAAATTACACTACTCTACTGCATACCATCCCCAGACTGATGGTCAGACTGAGAGGCTTAACAGGTGTTTGGAAGAATATCTGAGGGGCATGGTTCACTTGTGTCCTCAGCAGTGGGCTTCGGGGTCCTAATCGCTGAATTTAGCTCCGGCCAGGGTTTGATGTGTTTTTATCGAGAATTTGACCCGGAGCCTAGAACTAATATTGACGGGGATACTGCAGGGGATATTAGGACGGTCTTGGATTTTAATTCGGGGTTCGTTCGTGAAATTGACGTTTTAGTACGGGAGGCTAGAACCGGTGTTTGAACGACCAGAACTGGTGAGGGATTAGCACGGCATACCGGGTTTGTCGTATCACGATAATTATATTGATGCTTAGAATTGACCTAGGTGAACTAGAATGGCATGATTAGGGGTGTATGAACTTTTGTGCTATCTGTTGAACCCTGGATTGCTGTATGCTATTATTGACTTGCCCTAATCGATATGAACCTAGTTTATGCTGATGATTGTGTATATGTTGCAAATTGTGGGCTTGACTGTTAATATGCTTTACAATGGTTCGAGAAGGTGATTAGGTATGATTTTTCATGATTGTTGTATTTGGATGCACAAGTGGGAAAATATATATTCCCTGGTGATATTGTGATGTTTAAGGAGGATGACTTGCACGAGGGTTCATCCCGAGGAAGTGCAATTATACGACTCCTGTTTTACCTATGTTGAGCCAAGTATGGCCCGGTCAAGTACATGTGCAAGTAACGAATTATGATTTAGCAAGATGAGATATGGATCATGTATAAGGATACCAAATATGAGTGTTGTGGTCTCATGGTCAATTACATAGTAATTAGGGCTCCCCATG